TTGCCTGCTGGAAGTAACTTCCAGAAAAAAACAAAACAAAACACTTTTTAACCATTCAGCAAATCAGTTAATAAATGTAATGTAGCTGATCAATGTCACCTTTTTCATCATTCTTCCTCATCTCTCCCCACCCCACCCCTTCCTTCAATTTTCCGAATTTCATAGGCTATGCATTGAATTTTATGACTTCATTTCCCCCACTCCTCTTTTCATTCTTTTTTTCTTTTTTGTCGGTTGTGGGGGCTGAACTCTGGGCCTGAGCACTGTCCCTCAGCTCTTCAGCCAAAGCTAGTGCCCTACCACTTGAGCCACAGTGCCCCTTCCGGCTTTTTTCTGCTTATGTGGTGCTGAGGAATCGAACCCAGGGCCTCATGTATGTGAGGCAAGCGCTCTACCACTGAGCCAACTTCCCAGCCCCTCTCTTCATTCTTCTACCCTGCTCCCCCTCTCCTCTCCTTCATCCTACCTGTACCTTCCCAGAACCCATTTCCTGGTAATCAAATTTCTCTCTGCTGAACTTCAGGATATTTAAGAGCAGTACAATTTGCATTTAGAAAATGACTTTCTTTTCTGAAAAATAAAAAAGGCAATCTTTTTTAGAATAGTAAATTCTTAAATTCTAAATCTCAGTTTCTCATCCTGAAATGAAACAAACAAGTCTGCATTCCGCCAAGAGCAAATATCAAGAGTAATGATTTCCAGTGATATGACAAATTTACTTTAACCTGCCATTTGCTTCTTTTATGGACTGATAAGCCACAGTAGTTTAGAAAATAGTCTCCTATGAAGAGAGTTTTATTTTACAGTCTATCTTCTATATATAATACTAAAATATAAAATACTAAAATATTATGGGAAGAACCTCAAAAATACAAGCTCATCTTAAAGTGATCAAGCAAAGAATGGGGAAGTCTCAGTATTGGAAAAAAATCAATATTATTGTCTAGAATATTTTTTTAAATTACAGTCTTAATTTTAAAGAAATGGCATCCACAGCTCTGCCTGTCTAACTAAAGATTTAGGGTGGAGATAAGTGACTTTGTTCAAATCGTTTGACCATCTACTTTGTCCCATCTTAATCTGTTTTTTTGATGTTGCAATCACAAAATACGTGATTCTTGCTACTTTATACAGAAAAGAAGACTACTGTCAAACAGATGGGAAGTGCCACCTATTTGTCCTTCGGTGATGGCCTCATGACAGATGGTCAGTGGAAGTGGTAACATGGAAAGACAAGAAGCCAGAAGGATTCAGAGACCAGGATTACTGTTTGTGTAAAACAATCTCAAGGGAACGATCCAGGGGCCCGGCTGGAGACATGTCCTGCGAATCGAAGTTCCCAAGGAGACTTCACTGCTTAAAGGTGCCAGCTCCTCTCCATCACCACAGAGTTTCCAGCATGTGAAATGCTGGGGAATAAATCACATCCAAACTACAGCAAGGCCTCAGGAAAGGATGATGGGAAAAGAGGGGAGGGGAAGAAAACACTTTAGTTCAAAGGCAAATAAAAATGCCAATCAAGTGGAGAGCACTCAGTAAATGTCAAGAAGCAAGGTGAAGGAACCATGGGAGAAGTAAAAGCTTACTATGTCAAATGGTTATTTGGTTGTTGCTCTGTGTGTGTGTGTGTGTGTGTGTGTGTGTGTGTGTGTGTGTGTGTGTGTGTTTGTGTGTATGTGTGTGTGTGTGTATGCATGCACTGGTCCCAGGGCTTGAACTCAAGGCTTGGGTGTTGTCACTGAACATTTTTCCTCATGGCTAGCACTCTAGCACTTGAGCCACAGCTCCACCTCTGGCTTTTTGGTATTTAACAGGACATGAGTCCCATGGTCTTGCTTGCCTGGGCTGGCTTCTAAGATCTTAGCATCCTGAGTAGCTAGGATTACAAGTGTGAGCCATGGGTACCTGGCTTGCTGTATGTTGTTGTAAGCACAGCTCTGTTAAGGATTTCATATCACATAACTCTGTATGTTTTCTTTGTGTGGTAGAATGGGGATGATCTGGACCAGTTAGTGATTCCTTTCCCAGATTTCCTCCTTCCTATTCAAGAGGATGAATGTGGCAGAGGTATTATGTCAGGGCTAATGTTGGGGCATCACTTCTGAAGGGCAGAAGCCATAGTCTGGTCTTTTGCCTTTTCCCCTCTGGCTCACTGTTCTCAGTCAACAAATGCTACCAAAGGTGTTCAAAGGCAGAAGCAAGCTAGGAAGCAGTTTCTTTAATGTAAATGAAGATCTAGGGATCACTGCACAAACCAAGAATGGAAATGAACTCATATACTAACAGGTAAAACCTTCAACCATGATGTAGACACATGTGACTAGAGTGTCCCTGGGAGAAAAATGAAAGGCCTTGAAATTATACATCCCTTGAGTCTTTAATTCACAAATTCATTTCTGCCATTTTCAGGCCTGTTTTCTTCCTCTCCCAGTCAACCCTGTATATGGAGGTGAAATGATCATACATGCATTCAAATAAGGAAGGAAGACCTGTCTTTCCTTCTGTGGAAAGGAAGAAGTTGAGTGAATTAAAGAAGTTAAAGTGGGGCTGGGAAGGTGGCTCAGTGGTAGAGCACTTGCCTTGTGTGCATGAGGCCCTGGGTTCGATTCCTCAGCATCACATAAGCAAAAAGAAAAAAGCCGGAAATGGTCATGTGGCTCAAGTGGTACAGCGCTAGCCTTGAGCTGAAGAGCTGAGGGACAGCGCCCAGGCCTAGAGTTCAGGACCCACAACCGGACCCCCCCCCCCGCCCACGCCAAAAAAAGAGTTGAAGTTTCATTCGCTATTGAAGGTTTTGCTTTGTCACTCACATGATAAACACAGAAAGGAGCGAAGTCACTCGCCCTGCCTGTGTCTCTGCTGAAGAAACCTGACTTGGTGACAATGAATTCTTTCTAAAGTAGATGTCTTATTTTATTTGATTATTTTTTGCTTCCTGAGCTGTGGTGAGCTCTAGCCGGCATCACGAGGTCACTAGCAAGGGGGGAGTTTGTCTGTGGGTGAATAGAGAATGGGCGAGGTTCACCCTGCCCTGATCTCACCTGGCTCTATGTCCCACTCCAGACCTCAAACTCAGCCACAGGACTGACAAAGGGGCCTGTGACAGACAGTGGCTTAGCTCTCCATCCATCATGCTGAATATATGTACATTGTGGCTGTGCCCTACATCCTGAAGGCAAACCTCAAGGCACAGCATGCTACTACGCAGTTCAGGGAGAATGTCATCTGAGGAGCTGCCCAGGTCCTCCCGGACTCTCCTGTACAACTGACAAAGAGGCACTGCTGCCATAGACATTTGTTAGGAAAGATGACAGATGCTCTGAAGGTGGGAGACTACTTACAGTAGATGGAAATACCTTCAACAAACAAATCAGGCAGCAAAAATCAGAAATGCCTACAGGGTTGCTTTTTTGCTTTGGAAGAGTTATATTCTTGTGGAAAGACATTTCTGTAGGATAACAGAATTTAAGAAGTCATAAAATGGATGCTACAATACGGTCGTTTGGAGACCTATAAATTTGGCTTATGGTAGAGACTGTCCAGAGAAATTATGTAACAAGTTTATTATTTCATGACCCGGAGGAAACACAAAATTCTCAGCGCATTCCCCTCTCTCCGGTGAATGCGTGTAGGGACGCATGGGGCTGATCCTCCGTTGCACTCTGAGCACAGAGGTTTGTGCACCCATAGATGTCCTGAAGAGTGGAGGCTGAAAACATCGTTATGCATATTCATGAGACCGTTATTATTAATATCACCGAGGTGATTTTGGTCATTCTCAGCAGAGACTCATTTTTATACCTAGAAACTAATCAACCACAGGAGAAATGGCAACTTGAGCCAGCCTACCTAAAGCAATTCTGGACATTTAAGCTTTGAAATAAAGATGACTTGCGTAGACATTTTAAATAAACCCTTTCTGACCTCCAATGTGGCATGTGCTTCATCCAGTAGATTATTTCCAACTTTATTTCCAAAACAAAATGTCCTTGGGAGCAGAGGCCCTAGAGAACACTATTTTGATTACTTCCTTTCCGAAGAGTAAAAATTAAACAGGTCATAAAGATGATTCTAAGATGATTCTCAATAGACTTCCTTCTAGGAGATGGTTTTATAAAATGCTTTAGGAAAGAATTACCATTTATTTAGCACTTTTATTATTTTAAAAATATTTAACACAACAGGCCCATTGAAGACTCATTTCTAAAAAAACATAGACTCCGGCAGTCACATGGTGAATTAATAAAAAACACACAATAAAAGTAGCAAGTGATGTAAGTTGGCTGTATCTCTACATGCATGTTATGGATTCTCCCCAACACAACTAGACCACAGGCTGTTAATTGTTTTCAAATGATCTTTAAGTAGGTAGGGTTTCACTTCAACATGTCAGTGTAAGAGTACAGTGCGACTCGATCAACGTCACCCCTCCATCATTCTCCCTCACCTCTCCTAACCCAGCCCATCCCTTCAGTTGACCTGATTCCAGTTCAGTCATGTGAAGTCCATTCCGCATTCATTGAATACTATGGTGATACTTGCCCACCCTTCCTTTCTCCATTCGTCTGCCTTCCTTCCCTCCTCTTGACCTTACTCCATCCCTGACATGTTTCCGCTTCCTCCACATGACTATTTTCCCTGCGTGACAGCACACCAAATTACTATGAACTACTCTTTTCAATTAAAGGAAGTGGCTTTGGGGGCTGGAATTTTTCTTCTTGCCCTAGACCAAAGAAATCAGGTTAAATACGTAGACACTGGTGAAGGTATAGGGTGGTGGAAGATACCTATAGCTCATCAATATGTAATTACAAATGTTTATACCCGATAACTCTATGAATATCAGAGTTAACAAACACAGCATTAACCTTTGCAGAACAGCGTGATCTTCTAAAACACCACAATTAAAGAGTCCTAGGAAGGAGGAGCCCCAGAATGATGGGGGTAAGGAGGGTGTGGGGGGGAGGGGGAGGGAGGAGGCCCTGGGGCCACAGACTGACCTTAGGCACCCAGTGGCATTGCGCAGCACCTGTGATGAATGCAGCTGTATTTTCCGATCATCCTGAAGAGGGGAATTCTCCCAGCCAGAGTGCGGGATGATCACCGCGTTGGTCAACACTGCCAGGGCATCTTGGATGATTGGCATTTTGAGGGCATCACAGGACGAGAGGTTCCAGAGGACTCCTGCAAGAAACACACAAGGAGACTGTTGGATGGCCACTGGTTCTTTTCCATCTCCAATTATTTGCCCTTACTGGAGCTAAGGCACCGGCAGAAAGGAGTGAGACCATGTGGGAGAGGGAGTCCCACTGCTTTCACTTTAGAACTTCTGTAGCAATATGACCGAGCTATGAAAGTCTAATCAGTAAGCAGAGGAACTGTGCCATGATCATCAATTCTCTTCATTGTAACCACGGTGGAGAATTCATTGAAGTTGCTTACCAGGTTTCATGGTGTGTGTGTGTGTGTGTGTGTGTATATACACGTTCGCGTGCACACATGCATGTGTGTGCTGGTAGTGAGGCTTGAACTCATGGCCTCACACTTTCACCTGACTTTTTCATTCAAGGTGGGCACTCTTCTACTTGAGCCATACCTATTCTGCTATCTTTTTTGCTGGTTAATTGGAGGTAAGTGTCTCACATGCTTTTCTGTCCTGGCTGACTTCAAACTGTGATTCTCAGACTTCAGCCTCTTGAGTAGCTAGGATTACAGGTATGAGCCACTGCAGCCTGGCTAAATTTCTGTTCCTTTAAGACGCTATTCAGTATTAATACAATATTCCCGAATTCTAGCCAAGGTCAAAGGATATTGACTGAGGACTGCAGTCTATCTGTGTGGGCTTTGCCTCCACTTGTGTTCTGTTCACAAACGACCCTTATGAGACACCAGCATCAGACCTGATAACAAAGGCTCCTGAAGCAACTTAAACACTGACACTGTTTCTCTGAAAGTAATGCTCACGGAAGACCTACAGAATGCTCTCCCTTGAGGGATCACAAAGGGAACAGAACAGTGTGGAAGGCACCCTTGCAATGGATGAGGGGTGACAGTAATTTGTGTAGACAGAGCAAAAGCAAACATTTTGGTATACATTTTCTAAACAAGTCTAACTCTAGAAAAGGTCATAGTACTTACTGCAGGTATACTATGTTGTCATTTGAAAATGCTTGTAAAGTAATTGTTATGCATTCCCTTTTTGAAAGCCTCTGAATTCCTTCCACATAAAGAAGGACTATACACAGATACTAGGAATAAAGGTGTCTGTTTAGCTTCAGAAAACTGACTTCTAGCTTATTTAACAAGCTATCGATCTATTTTAACCAATTGAAATTTTGTTTTATTTATTGTATGATAAATAAAATGCGTGGAGCAGACTTGCTTAATTTTTTAACTAGTTCCCTATCTTGCACATGGTAAACTAAACAAAGACATTCATAATACAATTCCGATTGCTAATGACAATAAATATCTAACAGAGTGGCTATAAAGTTCTATAAAATGTGACTTTGGAGATAAACTCTTTCAACTATCTTTTGGAGTAACATTTACAGAGAATTTTATTTGAGTGCAATAAACATATAAATGACAGTGCCTAGTATATATAAAAGTAGCCTTTCGTGCAGAGAGTTAACTTGAGAGTAAATCTAGCCTATTTGTTTTTACAGATAAAGCTTTATTGGAACACAGCCATGCCTGGTCATTCATATATTTTCTATGTCTGCTTTTGTCTATAAAGAAATATCTGGGGGCTGGGAAGTGGCTCAGTGGTAGAGTACTTGCCTTACATACAATGGGGCCCTGGGTTTGATTCCTCAGCACCACATAAGCAAAAAGAAAAAAGCCGGAAGTGGCGCTGTAGCTCAAGTGGTAGAGTGCTAGCCTTGAGCTGAAGAGCTGAGGGACAGTGCCCAGGCCCAGAGTTCAGGCCCCACGACCGGACGCCCCCCCCCCAACAAAAAAAAGAAATATCTGATTGTTTGCGATAGTCTATAGGCTCCAAAAAGTCTAAACCATTTGCTATCTGGCCCTTGACAGAAGCTTACCCAGCCCTCAGTACTGACCATTTTCCATGTACTTTGTGTACATGCTTGCATTTAGAACTCTAAAATGAATGAACAAATATACTCATTGGCACAATAAGGTGTTCAAAGTATATTCTGATTTGGATTGACCTACAACAATAGGAAAATTAAACTATATTTATCTGCCAGGTGCTCATTGCTTCTGTCTATAATCCTACCTACATAGGAGGCTGAAGTCTGAGGATGGTGGTTCAAAGCCAGCTCTGGAGGAAGCATGTGAAACTCTTATCGCCAATTATGATTGGCGATATGTCTGAGGTGGTAAAGTGCCAGTCTTGAGTGGACTATGTTAACAAGAACCATGAAGCTCTGAGTTCAAGCCCTAGTATCAGTACATACACACTAGAGATAGATTTTATCTTCTTAAAAATGAGATATGAAAGTGTTAAGTGTTTATTTATCTTGGAAGATGTGTCACTAAGTTTTTGTGTGTGTGTGGGGGGGGGGGGAGATGCTAATCCTGGGGATTGAATTCAGAGCCTGGGTGCTGTCACTGAGCTATTGCTAAAAGCTAGGGATCTACCACTTGAGATACAGCCCCACCTACAGGTTCCCAGTAACTAATTGGAGATGAGAATCTCATGAACTTTCCTGCCTGGGATGGCTTTAAACTGTGATCCTCAGATTGCAGACTCCAGAGTAGCTAGGATTGCAGGTATGTGTCATAGGTGCCAGGTTACTTTACTGATTTTTTTTAAATCATTTAAATGATCAAAACAGTTACCCTCATTCATTTGAGTTGCATAAAAATATTATTTGGTATAGCAAAAATAATTGATCTTTCAGTTTAAAAAGCACATAATAAGTAAAGTAGGCCTGGTTATTTTTTAAAAAAATTATTATTTTAAGGAGTTGTACAAAAGGGTTACAATTGTATAAGTCACATTGTAAGTACAGCGCACAGCCCACTGGGGCAATGCCACCCTTTGCCTCATTTTCCCATCTTCCCCCTTCCATCCCTGCCCAAAAGTTACATAGTCAATTAACATTGTGTGTACTGAATACAATAAAAAGGTAGTAAGTTAAGATAGCAAATTTTATATTAAAAAAGTAGTTTCTAGCTTGCATCAGGATAACTTTGAAGACTATCACGCCAATGTATTTCTGTGTGTTCTTCTGAGTATTCCATGCAGAAACAAAACATGTTTTTTTCATTTTCAAATCCTGATTTTTCATATTCAAATGCTGATTAGAAAATACTAGTATACGAAAACTGATGTTTGAAAATCACTGTTTTAAAATGCGAGTACTGTGCTTTGGTGAAAGATGCCTGAGTTGTAAAGGTATCCTTATATATACAATTACCTTAAAGAATCTGAAGTTAGTCTATGATAATAAAACATTTTTTGTTGTTCTCTATGAACAGAAAAGACGGTGAGAAAGGAAGAGATGAAAATCAGAGAAAAACAAAAGGATGAATCTACCACTGGACAGGTGGTGAGAGGAGGAAAGAAGACCCTTCACTGGATGTCTGCCTCCCTTGCTTTCCCACAACTCTTATTAGTAAGAGTTAATTAACTAATAGAGTTAATATAGTTAATTAGCTATATGGTTTTTGCCTCATCATTCAGAGCATGGAGAGAAGCTTCCGAGTTCACATTCATTCATTGATTCTGTGTGTGTGTGTGTGTGTGTGTGTGTGTGTGTGTGTGTAACATTTTAATGAACGTATCGTCTGTGACCATATCTCTGGGTCCTCTCTTTCAATGCGCCTGTAGCCCAACATAGCTCCGTTTCCAGAGCTGTTGGAACTGTAGTGACCATGTTCTTACCTCCTGATGAAGAGTTGGTGAAGTGGCTATGACAAGGTGGAATGCTTTTTGGAGCAATTTGGCAAATCATATGAGGGAAAAAACTCAGAGTTTAAGTCTGGGCAGAAGGGGGCTGGGGATGTGACTTAGTGGTAGAGTGCTTGCCTAGCATGCATGAAACCCTGGGTTTGATTCCTCAGTACCACATACACAGAAAAAAGCCAGAAATGGCACTGTGGCTCAAGTGGTAGAGTGCTAGCCTTGAGCAAAAGAAGCTCAGGGACAGTGCCCAGACCCTGAGTTCAAGTCCCAGGACTGGCAAAAAAAAAAGTTAGTCTGGGGAGATTATTTGTATACAAGGACAGTCTTGAAGTAGAGTCAGTAGAGAAACAGCTGGGAACTCTGCATCTTTTCTCTCTCTGTGTGTGTCTCTCTGTGTCTGTCTGTCTCTGTCTCTCTGTCTCTCTCTCTCTCTCTTTCTCTCACACACAAACATGTGTGGCCCACAGAGCTGCACCCCTGCTGGAGACTGGAACAGGGATGTGTTTCCTTCTCTTGACAAACTTTTGGTGACTGGCTGCACTCCTGGGCTTGAGGTCTGGCAGCCATCCAACCTTGACTACTAGGCCACGTTTCCTGAAATTCTGCTCTCCTCCCCAGCATTCTTGGGATTATACTGAACCCCAATCAAGCCAACCCTGCAAAGATTCCTGAAGCCTAATCCCACCTAGTCCCACCATTTAGGATTACATGTGGAGGCTCTGGGAATTAGGACCTGGAATCTTGGGGGAATCATTCTTCACTTCAACACAAGTTACCTTAAAATATGATTATGATCATTTGCCCCTGAATTGCAGATTCCCTTATCCATTTAGTTATTCTCTCCAACATACTAAAGACCTACTATGCGCCGGGTGTAGATCTATCAGTCCATCATCTGGCACGTCCATTTCAAGAACTCTAGTCACACTTGTTACAGAGGCCTTCATTCCTCAACTCGGCCCCGCAGCTTGTTTGCACACTGGCCCTTCCCTCTTGTTGGAGCCTCAATCAGAAGCACTCTTCCCAGACCTTCCCATGGTTAATCCTTCTGTCATCCACATGGCTCCTTAACTGCTAAACTCAGAAAATCTTTTCCCACACACGGGATGTCAGCTTTCCCATTTGAATTTTCAGCAGAGACCTTTATCTCCAACTCAGGTTGTCCACTACTGGTTGATTTTTTTTGTCACTACACATTGTTCCTTCCTGCTGCAGGGCTGAAGCATGGAGAGGGCAGTGGACCCATGTCCGTGTGCTCACGGCACACAGAAAAACTCAGCACAGCACCTGCTGCTTACAGAATATT